AGCGCAGTTCCTTATATCAAGAGCCCCTCTCCAGCATCAAGGCACCCCTCATAGCGCAGTTCCTTATATCAAGAGCCCCTCTCCAGCATCAAGGCACCCCTCATAGCGCAGTTCATTATATCAAGAGGCCCCTCTCCAGCATCAAGGCACCCCTCATAGCGCAGTTCCTTATATCAAGAGCCCCTCTCCAGCATCAAGGCACCCCTAATAGCGCAGTTCCTTATATCAAGAGCCCCTCTCCAGCATCAAGGCACCCCTCATAGCGCAGTTCCTTATATCAAGAGCCCCTCTCCAGCATCAAGGCACCCTCATAGAGCAGTTCCTTATATCAAGAGCCCCTCTCCAGCATCAAGGCACCCTCATAGCGCAGTTCCTTATATCAAGAGCCCCTCTCCAGCATCAAGGCACCCCTCATAGCGCAGTTCCTTATATCAAGACCCCCGTCTCCAGCATCAAGGCACCCCTCATAGCGCAGTTCCTTCTATCAAGAGCCCCTCTCCAGCATCAAGGCACCCCTCATAGCGCAGTTCCTTTTATCAAGAGCCCCTCTCCAGCATCAAGGCACCCCTCATTAGCGCAGTTCCTTATTCAAGAGCCCCTCTCCAGCATCAAGGCACCCCTCATAGAGCATTTTCCTTATATCAAGAGCCCCTCTCCAGCATCAAGGCACCCCTCATAGCGCAGTTCCTTATATCAAGAGCCCCTCCTCCAAGGCATTCTTTAAACAAAGGCACCCCTCATAGCGCAGTTCCTTATATCAAGAGCCCCTCTCCAGCATCAAGGCACCCCTCATAGCGCAGTTCCTTATATCAAGAGCCCCTCTCCAGCATCAAGGCACCCCTCATAGCGCAGTTCCTTATATCAAGAGCCCCTCTCCAGCATCAAGGCACCCCTCATACAATTGTTATAATTGCCACGTCATCACATTTCATTCAACTATCAATATTTTATTTACTTTTACATTTATGAAGGAAAGCTAAACCCGTAGAGATAATACTGCACCTGGTCGTGGTTATTTAGCTATGCACCTGGTCGTGGTTATTTAGCTATGCACCTGGTCGTGGTTATTTAGCTATGCACCTGGTCGTGGTTATTTAGTTATGCACCTGGTCGTGGTTATTTAGCTATGTATCTGGTCGTGTTTATTTAGCTATGCACTTGGTCGTGGTTATTTAGCTATGCACCTGGTCGTGTTTATTTAGATATGCACTTGGTCGTGGTTATTTAGCTATGCATCTTGTCGTGGTCATTTAGCTATGCACCTGGTCGTGGTTATTTAGCTATGCACCTGGTCGTGGTTATTTAGCTATGCACTTGGTCGTGGTTATTTAGCTATGCACCTGGTCGTGGTTATTTAGCTATGCACCTGGTCGTGGTTATTTAGTTATGCACCTGGTCGTGGTTATTTAGCTATGCACCTGGTCGTGGTTATTTAGCTATGCACCTGGTCGTGGTTATTTAGCTATGCACCTGGTCGTGGTTATTTAGTTATGCACCTGGTCGTGGTTATTTAGCTATGCACCTGGTCGTGTTTATTTAGCTATGCACCTGGTCGTGGTTATTTAGCTATGCACCTGGTCCTATTTATTTAGCTATGCACCTGGTCGTGGTTATTTAGCTATGCACCTGGTCGTGGTTATTTAGCTATGCACCTGGTCGTGTTTATTTAGCTATGTATCTGGTCGTGTTTATTTAGCTATGCACCTGGTCGTGGTTATTTAGCTATGTATCTGGTCGTGTTTATTTAGCTATGTATCTGGTCGTGTTTATTTAGCTATGTATCTGGTCGTGTTTATTTAGCTATGCACCTGGTCGTGTTTATTTAGCTATGTATCTGGTCGTGTTTATTTAGCTATGTATCTGGTCGTGTTTATTTAGCTATGCACCTGGTCGTGTTTATTTAGCTATGTATCTGGTCGTGTTTATTTAGCTATGTAACTGGTCTTTGTTTATTTAGTATGTATCTGGTCGTGTTTATTTAGCTATGTATCTGGTCGTTTTTTATTTAGGTATGTATCTGGTCGTGTTTATTTAAGCTATGCATCTGGTCGTGTTTATTTAGCTATCCCATCTGGTCGTGTTTATTTAGCTATGTATCTGGTCGTGTTTATTTAGCTATGCATCTGGTCGTGTTTATTTAGCTATGTATCTGGTCGTGTTTATTTAGCTATGCATCTGGTCGTGTTTATTTAGCTATGTATCTGGTCGTGTTTATTTAGCTATGCACCTGGTCGTGTTTATTTAGCTATGCATCTGGTCGTGGTCATTTAGCTATGCACTTGGTCGTGGTCATTTAGCTATGCACTTGGTCGTGTTTATTTAGCTATGCACTTGGTCGTGTTTATTTAGCTATGCATCTGGTCGTGGTCATTTAGCTATGCACTTGGTCGTGGTCATTTAGCTATGCACTTGGTCGTGTTTATTTAGCTATGCACTTGGTCGTGTTTATTTAGCTATGCACTTGGTCGTGTTCATTTAGCTATGCACTTGGTCGTGTTCATTTAGCTATGCACTTGGTCGTGGTCATTTAGCTATGTACTTGGTCGTGGTCATTTAGCTATGCACTTGGTCGTGGTCATTTAGCTATGCACTTGGTCGTGGTCATTTAGCTATGTACTTGGTCGTGGTCATTTAGTTATGCACTTGGTCGTGGTCATTTAGCTATGCACTTGGTCGTGGTTATTTAGCTATGCACTTGGTCGTGGTCATTTAGCTATGCACTTGGTCGTGTTCATTTAGCTATGCACTTGGTCGTGTTCATTTAGCTATGCACTTGGTCGTGGTCATTTAGCTATGTACTTGGTCGTGGTCATTTAGCTATGCACTTGGTCGTGGTCATTTAGCTATGCACTTGGTCGTGGTTATTTAGCTATGCACTTGGTCGTGGTCATTTAGCTATGCACTTGGTCGTGGTTATTTAGCTATGCACTTGGTCGTGTTCATTTAGCTATGCACTTGGTCGTGGTTATTTAGCTATGCACTTGGTCGTGGTCATTTAGCTATGCACTTGGTCGTGGTTATTTAGCTATGCACTTGGTCGTGTTCATTTAGCTATGCACTTGGTCGTGGTTATTTAGCTATGCACTTGGTCGTGGTCATTTAGCTATGCACTTGGTCGTGTTTATTTAGCTATGCACTTGGTCGTGTTCATTTAGCTATGCACCTGATCGTGTTTATTTAGCTATACACTTAATCTTTGTTTATTTGGAAAAGAGGAGAGGAAGGGAATGGAGGATGATGTACCCAAACATTCAGAGACCAAATAAAGTTGATATGTAAGTCAAAGAAACATAAATCGTTCAGCAGCTGTACCCAATTACTGCTTATAGAAATATTTTAGCCACGTTTCTGTTTATTAGAGTACGTCTGTGTTAGGTTCTACAGGGTTCTACTGAGATCCAATCTGGGTACCAATACTTAGGTCAGAGTACGTCTGTGTTAGGTTCTACAGGGTTCTACTGAGATCCAATCTGGGTACCAATACTTAGGTCAGAGTACGTCTGTGTTAGGTTCTACAGGGTTCTACTGAGATCCAATCTGGGTACCAATACTTAGGTCAGAGTACGTCTGTGTTAGGTTCTACAGGGTTCTACTGAGATCCAATCTGGGTACCAATACTTAGGTCAGAGTACGTCTGTGTTAGGTTCTACAGGTTTCCACTGAGTTCAAATCTGGGGACAAATACTAAGGTTAGAGTACGTCTGTGTTAGGCTCTATAGGGTTCCACTGAGATTAAATCTGGGTACCAATACCAAGGTTAAAGTACGTCTGTGTTGGGTTCCACTAATATTAAACGTGGAGACCCACGTGAGAGTGGGATTCATGGGAACACAGCTTACCTGGCAGAGGTATCTCTGTTTGTAGGTCACCCAAGACATGATGGAATAACGTCCAGGAAATTGTGGCTTAAGGTACCCACCTGGGTCACATCCAGCATGGGTCTGGCAGTGTGTAGGACTCTGCTCTTCCAGAGCAGAGTCCTCGACGCATCATGGAAAGGGGTAGAGTTTATCTGGATTAAGCCACAATGTCCAGCTTACTTCCATTAAGGTCCTTTGATCCTTTTTCGCTGCTAACATCTAGGTATCCATTTACTGCTAAGTGACCTGGGTCAACAGGTGTAAAGAAACTTGCCCATCATTTCCAACTGTCAGGATCGAGGGCGGATCTTGCCTTAGAGTACCCAGAAAGCGGAAGTAATAGGATATTTGTCAAGGAAACTGCACCTGCAGTGAGGTAGTGGGTATCAACAAAGTTATGAAAGGGCAAGGGCAGGCAAAATTATTATATTCACAGAGAAGTGCTTAACTCGTAGGGGTGACACAGCACTAGGAGAATGAGAATTAATCAGGTTTGATTAAAGGAAGAAATAGGGTAATTTTAAGGTTTAAGAAGAACCAGGTCTTCACAAACATCGAAGCTCTCATTGGAATCGACGTGAGAAGAGCGAGCACGGGGATGGGAGCATCAGTAAAGCTTCACTTATCCTGTTTACAACCGGTCAAGAATACTCTATCCCTTACATAAGGATTACAGTAACCTTTCAGTGTATATATACACCGAGAGATATCCACCTTTATTGTGTATATGCCTGGGTGGGGATCGTGGTTCCCCGCAAGGTTTGTATCTTCCGTCGGTATTGTGCGTAGTGCCATGTTAGTTGGCATGGCTGAGGGGCACTTATCTGTATTATCCAGTGGAGGGCCACCATGCTGCCCGCTTCACCAACCACCGTCTCACACACACACTAACGATGAAACTGCGAATGCGACAGACAAGTGTTGCTTCAGCACTGATTTTGGCCAGGTGATGTGGGATAAACAGGTGGGAAGGAGAAGCACCCGTTGGTCCAGACACTTGCACTTCCCACAGATGCTGCCCACACAGCTGTACATGTGTTTCTGCCCCGTAATGTCCCCCACCCTCCCTCCCCCACAATACTTCAGCTACATATCTAGCATAGCACATTTGTGATCCCCTTCAGGTAGACTGTGCCTTACCTGTGTGACGCAGGAGTCTGTGGTGGTTGTGATGCAGCAGCCGCAGGTGTGTCGCAGGTGTGAGCAGGAAGACTGCGGAAACACGTGTGCCGACACCAGTCCACTGCTACCGCCCCCGCTCTCTCGCTCCCCACCTACTACCTATAACCACGCCCTGAAGGGGAGGGGTATTGCAGGTTGGGAAGCTTGAGGCTAGGAGAGAGGAGGATAAGGGCATCTACCATTCGTCTTCACCCTCCCATCGTTAAATACTTTACAATTACCATGGGCATCCCGTCCAAGAGGTGAAGAGCAGAGCAAGCGAAAGGGAATTAGGGGAAGTATCACCAGGTAGGCTACAGCTGAATTGATTTCACTGAACACCTGTTTATACATAGATGTGCACACATTAACACTGCCCAAGTTTATTCTAGTTCACACACTTCATTTTTAGCTTCCATGGAAGCACTAAAGCAGTATGGCTCTTACCGCTTCCCTTCCAGTAATTTTTTAATTTGGTATTTTTTAGTGGTTGCCTAATTTTTTTTCTTCCTCCAGAATTTCAATTTTATTTCGCTCGTAACTCGAAAATACCTCATCCTATCGGCTTTAAATTCGACGCTTTTTTACGAGTACCAGATTCTTGGAGCAAATGATGCAGGACCCGATCCTAACATGAATAACTTCCAAAATCCTCAGTGGCGAATCTTCAAAAACATTAAAAAACATGCCTCATAATTCGATGACAGTGGAGAGTTTAAGTCAAGTGTCCAGGTGATGCAAATTTGACCATTTTAAGTGTAAAATTGTGTGAAATTTTTATTCTCGCTAAATCACGTTAATATCTTTTAGTTTACCTCTTTTGAACGGCTTCAGTATTTAATGGCCGATGCATCTAAGGGGCAGAATAGAACCCACTGTTTTTATTATTATTATTATTATTATTATTATTATTATTATTATTATTATTATTATTATTATTATTATTATTATTATATTCAGGAGGCAGTGGTAACCCCGTGCTAGTAATATAACACCAGGTGATTTCGAGAGGTAGGGGGTAATTAAATTTGATCCAAGGAAGGAGGCAAGGTAACTCCAGTTCCTTAGATCAAGAGCCCTTAACCAGCACGAAGGACACTCAGCTCGTTCTTCTTGTTCTCTCCAGTGTCTGGGTAAGAACACTGAACATTACCCGCAGTGGGTCAGTCAAACACAATCACACTTCATTAAAATATTTATTCAATATATTTGGTACAATAGGAATGTGTGTGTGCGAGAGTGTATACATTGTATTGGTGTTGCCATCTCTGTGTAAAGCTTTATATAAACCTTATTTGTGTTTCCGACATTCGACAAGTGTCAGAAGCGGCTCAGGTCTCCGCTGTTAGACCTGGGCTGCTTGTTTTATTGGGTTTGAAGCCTATCGACTACACGAGGGTCATGGAGGCTGCAAGTCATCTGTGCAACACCAGGCAAGGTGACTTTAACGCCTAAAATGAGAAATAAAGTAATCTTTCAGCGTATAAACACACCTCGTAGTGTATATATACCGATACTTCTCGGTATATATACACAGATACATAAATCTTGGTTTTTATACTCTGAGAGATACACATCTCCCAGTGCACATATACTAAATGATGTATACATCTTGGTATACTCGGTATATACACACACACACATATATATATATATATATACATATACATATATATATATATATATATATATATATATATATATATATATATGTATATATATATATATGTATATGTATATATGTATATATATATATATATATATATATATATATATATATATATATATATATATATATATATATATATATATATATATATATATATATACATCTTGATGTTTATACACTGAGAGATACCTTTCGGTGTATATACCTTTGTGAGAACTAAATTCTCCATTCATTACAGCCCAAGATATAGCCATATTTGTTAGGTAAAGTTTTCCTATACACAAGTACGTCTATCTTGAGCCGCACAGAAAGAAGAGAATGATCCCAAGGAGAGTTATTGTGGGTGAAAAAACTAGATCGGGGAATAAATATCTATTGGGTTAACTATTAATAAAGTGTTGGGTTATAATGAAGCTCACTCAGGGTGAGGATAATCACTCACACAATAAAAATCTGAAACAAGATCACATATTCTAGAGGTTTAGAAGAACGATGCTTAGATTAATACTTAGAGAACTCTGAACCCGTCTCATCCATACAGTGAATTTGTTAGAAAAAGACCTGACTCGTAAAACCAGAGCACTCTTGGCGACATGACTGACCAGGTGCATGACTTACTAGGTTACAAACATGGGAAGAGAGAAACTATTGAGAGGACAACACGCGAGGCTGGTCAAGGAATAACAGACATTCTGAAGAGTAAAAATACATTTAAACAACACACAACTTCTAAACGATATCAAAATGTTTACTTTCCAGCCCAGATATGTACAGAATATATGTATGAAAATATCTCTCACGTGAAGTAGTTACATACAGAAGGTAACAACACTACTGTAACTACTAGGTTATAGGATGGTGCTAATCTTTGTGATTACTATCATGTTTCCATGCAATATTTAAGGCAAAGTGCAAAATAAAATATGTATTCTAAATAAAAATAGTAATTTATAACTATAATAGTTTAAAAGTGAACAGAGTATCAGTATGAGATGTAAAAACAGGGGAAAAAGATCTCTTTTTTTGTGTCACAGTGCCAGAATGAGGAACGGAATGACTTAAATTTTTCGAAATATAATCTCACATGTACCCTGGCTAAAGCCAAGCAAGATAAAGCATGTTATAATAGGATAAATGAGTAAGGGCAGTGCTTCCCTTCTTATCTGGATAGTATGTATTATCAATAATGGAAGGCTGATCTACTTTAGGCTCTATACAACAATAAACGATGATACAGAGGGAAGTGTGTATCCTAGAGAAGTGCCACTGGTCAGTAATCACCAGGTGACCTCACCCAGGAGACCTAGGAGGACTTGCCCAGTCTCAGGGGAGACACGGGCACCTGGCTATCTTCAAGGTATGTTAATACACAACATCTAAAATAGAACTAACACCTGTAAAAAGTGAAAAGTGTTTCAAGGACATCCCTAGATGTGTAATATATATTATATACGAGGTAAATACCACCAGTAGCAACACCCTCGCCAGCCTCATCAAACACACACACACACACACACACTGGTCATGTGTGTGTGCTCAAACCTCCATGTTTAAGGTACATTATTTTTACTAATCTTATTCTCCTTAACAAACTTGTAGTAATATTTTATTGGCTTTATCTCCTAACGCAGTATGAGTACTGTGGATTAGGAAGTAAAATTTGGCGAATATCGCAATACTTGAATTGCCTTCTTAGCCTTTAATAAGAGTTAAAAGTGTATATTTGTAATATAAATAAAGGCAGAAATATTTATAAAGTTGTGTTGCTATAAACAGATGTATACTTTTTCTGCTTCCAGAAATCGAAAAAATTCTTTATGAAATAACTAATTTTTTCCCAGTGAAAATGTAGTTAACGAATTTTATTACTTATATATAATAAAAAAAAAAGCTTCTCTTCTCACACTATAAAGTGGAGAGGAGAATTTACATATATTCCAAGTTTCACAAAGGTGAGTGGTACCGAGACAGTGAAGCCTCACACACAACACTAGGCTGTGGCCATGGGGGCCAGGGGGGCCAGGGGGGCCAGGGGGCCGGGGTGCTAGGGTTCCTGGGGGCCAGGAGGCCAGGGGGGCCAGGGGGTCCAGGGGGGCCAGGGATCCATGGGGCCAGGGGGCCAGCCACACCGAAAACTGGCAAGAACGAGCATTTTCCTGCCGAGTTCATCCCTTTGAACAACATGAAATGGAAACCCGTATCTAAATCAGTAAAATAACGACGTCTTAGGACTGAACCTACGGTAAGAAACACTGACAGTGCTCCGAGAATGTGGAAGTTTACCTAATGACTTGTGCAAGTCATTGTCAAATATTAAAAAAACCCACAGGTTCGACAGATTTTGACACAGAATAGACGATATACGCAGGATTAAAGTATTTTGGATTCACTGGTTTACCTGGAGTTTACCTGGAGAGAGTTCCGGGGGTCAACGCCCCGCGGCCCGGTCTGTGACCAGGCCTCCTGACCATAAGTTAAAATGAACAAACTTTCTGTAGTAGTAGTGAATGAGCCAGACTCACCGTCCTCAGTACTGTGTTGGTGCTCTTATTTACACGAGTAGATGTGATCAGTCCCTCAAAGGAGTTTTGAATGAATGTGAATTATTATTATAACCTGTGAAAGCGCTAAACCGACAAGGGTCATACAGCGCTGCGGAGCAGTGAATGAATGTGAAGTGGTCTCTTGATACCAGATTTTGGAGGTACCAAATTTTCCTGATTACCTCCCTTTTTCTAGACCCTGTAAGACCCCCTACGAATTTAGTACTTTTTCTTGAATAATACAATAATGTGATTAGCATTAACAAATAAAAAGACACAATACCGTGACTGGAACAATACACAAATAACATTTACAAAGTCACACTAACGGAAAGGAGAGAAGGAGGCCTATATATACTGCCATCTTCCCTCCTTTCTGTTAGTGTGACTTTGTAAATGGTCCAAGTGGGACCGAAACGTCGTAGTAAGCTCCTCTCTCCTATATACTGGTTATCTGTGTAGTGTGATTAGCATTGTGCTACTACAGTATCCTACATAATTAAAATTATGAGGTTATTCAGTATTATTATAGAAAATGGTTGAAGTACAATGTTGATGTACCCAATTTCATTTGATGATAATGTGAAGCCTTATAATGGTGCGTAGCAGCGTCCAAGGCTCACAAATCACTTCAGTCATACATGTAACTCTCATGTATCGTTAACGGGATCTAAAACTTACACGAGAACAATAGTGCAGCGTCAAGGTTTAAGTGTACACGATAATGACAAATTAATGAATAAGACACGTATATAACATTTCTTCCAATGTCTCCAGCATAAAAGTCGTTTATCCATGAGGCTGGAGAAGGCCTTTTACACAGGCTAAATGTCTAGTCATTAAGATATCGAGGTGTTGTAAATGGGTCTTATTCATTAAGGTTTAAACGACATAGAAGCAATATTTCTCTTCAGGATACATGTAGTTTACTTAGATATTTCTTCTCCTGATGACTGCACGAGTTGTGATGGGTGATTAGCAGTGACCTTAAAAAAAGATGTGGGGGATGGGGATAAATATAATAAATAGATACTGTGTGTAGAGCAAACCTTAAATTACAGTTTACGTTTCACTCTGTATGGTCTACAAATAAAGGTTTACCCTCTTAATAGTTATTTTTTTTTTTACCATATTGTCAGCAAGTCTCGCAGCCATTTCAGATATAAACACAGTAGCACCTCGCTGCGATATAGTAGGCTATGTAATCGGAACTTGAAGTCATCAGCTTAAACATACATATTTGAATTTTCCCAGGTAGAATATTTAATATGAAACGTAAAGCGACATACAATAGGTCTGTAAGTTCAGGCCATAATGATTGTGATCAGCAAAGTTAGTACAATGCTAAAACTTTTGGGAACATTTCTAACCATAGCTTTAGCCCCACACTAACCTTGTACTACACTGGCCTATACCACACACTGGCCTTGGCCTTACAGTATCCTTGGGCCCCCACAATGGCCCTTGGCCTTCACTGCCCCTGAGCCTCTTTACCTAGGTCTCGCTGCCCCTGGCCTTCACACTGCCTCTGAGTATGGTACTGCCCCTAGGCTTCACACTGCCTCTGAGTATGGTACTGCCCCTGGCCTTCACACTGCCTCTGAGTATCGTACTGTCCCTGGGTATCACACTGGCTTTGGGCTCCATAAAGGCCTTGGGCCTCACATTATTCATGGGCTTGACACTGGCTCTGGGCTCCAACCCGCTACTACACACTACAAGTCTTTTTTTTTTTTAACATTTGCTACGATAGGAAGTTTTGAAAATATCGCATGAATCATCTAAAGATTTGCTATCCCAAATCTTCTCGAGTATACATAATCTTAGGTTAGGTTAAACTAGGTTTGAATAGGTTAGATTAGACCTCTCTAGATGAGTTTTAAGTGGGTTAAGGTTTGATTAGGTAAGGTTTAATCGCGCTAGGTTATTTGGCTAGGTTATATTTGTGTAGGTTAGGCTTAAGTTAAGAAGGCAAATAATCAACTGAGCTAAATTAGGGTGACGAGTTTTGAGGTGGAATAAACAGAGAAACCATTTTGAGGTAAACATTCAGAAGTTAATCTTTAGACGATTGCAATATATGTATATACATCTGAAGTTCTCTAATGATAACTGCTAAGTGACATTAAACCAAATGATACTCAAGATGCGACACACGTTAGCCAAATGAGACGAATATAACATCCAACTGGTCCCGTTCCAGCAGACGAAGTTGTGTTTCATGAAGACTGCTAGAGGAAGAAGTGGAAGAGGACACAGTTCTGTGTATCGTGATACATCAAGACCCTTCATGAGGGGATGCCTTAATGTTAGTGAAGAATTCTTTGGTCAAACCCGATTCCCTCTGGTTCCTCAGTCGTTTTGTGACTCCTACGGGTTCAACGCTTCCCCATGAATATAATAGTGGTATTTAATTCAAGATGTGCGACCTGTGGAATGATACACCAACTAAGTTGTCGTTATGAAGCCACTGAACATACAATATGAGGCTTATGATACTTATGAAGATGTTTCGCCCTATTGGGCGAAACGTCTTCTCAGTAGTGGCATAAACGGCATATTGTGTCTTATTCATATACTTGTCGGTACATTTTACCATTGGTATACAGTGACACACTGCTGCACTATGTACATAATGTCTGGGAACAAGACCAAAGAGATGCCTCACACAGATTTCCACGTCTTGGTTTCTGCATCCAGTAATCCTTCAAGGGAAGACCTTGAAAGCCAGAGAAGTGATCTAGATCTATGGAACCAGAGCTTCCCTCTTCTTCGTAGGATAACCCCTCTTTTAATTCCCAATGAATATAATAATAATAATAATAATAATAATAATAATAATAATAATAATAATAATAATAATAATACATCCCGTAATTATTCTACAGTGATTTCAAGCTGCATTATCTTAGTCATTTTCATATTATTAAATCAAGATGTTGAAGATCGCTCACGAGTACACAGCTCACCAAACACACTCTCTTTGGAGAGGAATCTTACGGCCTTACGTTATGAGCATACAGTGTAGCTCTCGGGGCAGTAACTAGGCGACTTAGTAGTGTCAGTTTTGGACAGTTTACGCCAGAAGCAGTTTGTGTCAGGGATCCTCTATTATCTACTTCTTTGAGCACCGTTATCCACTGGCTGAAATTTTCACTTGTCTTGAATATAACTGGGAAACAAGGCATCCTATTTTCTCTTATTAACAAAAGCAGATTTCAAGGCAAGTGTAAATACCTAACAATATATACCTTCTGGGAATAGAACTGGCCAAGACTGCTTTTAAAATGTCGAACTATAAACCCTTTTTTCTAACTTCTTGAAGTTACCAGTTACCTCACCCGGATGTTCATCACTGGTGCTCCTGCTTGCATGTGGACCAAGTTACACAATAAATCTTGACGTCACTCGGTAGTGGTAGTGGAGAGATCAGGGGTTCTGTGAATACCTAATCTATTACACTGAAATAATTTACACTGTGAAAATAACTTTTGATTGTGGAAATATAAATATACAACAGTTGCCCTCTTAAATTTCACATCTCCTGAGCAAGATGGTAGGAATACTTCGCTACAAAATATAAATTTGTCACAAGTGAAATCCCAGTAACTTTACGCACTGTTTTAGGTAATGTGTTACAGTGAGGTGACGTCACACTGTAATTACACTTCAGACCAAGATGAAGTGACACAAGTTATATTTATAATGACTAACTGAAATCGGTGAATGCACTTTGTGTGGCTGAATGCACAGGCATCGAGGTCTTATGGAATGTTTTACTGATTATTTTTTTTAAATGGTCGCTAAGGACACTCGGACCAATCGGTTGAAGAGAAGTAATAACCCAAATGTAAACTGAAGACGTAATGGTTGCTGATCATCATTCTGTGTCATCGAGCTGTGTTTGAGGACTTCAGAGCACCACAGACCTTGTCAACACTGATCGAGGATCTTGGGGAGCTCCACAAACCTTGTGAGCATTAGTCGAAGGTTCTGTGAGTTGACAGACCTTGCGAACACTAGGTGAGGGGTCTCGGATCTCCACAGACCTTGTGAGCACTGGTTGAGAACCTCCTGGTAGCACCACAAACATTGTGAGCACTGTCCGAGGACCCCCGTGTAGCACCACACACCTTGTGAGCACTGGTCGAGGACTTACTGGTAGTATCACAGACCTTATGAACATGATCAAAGGTCTCAGAGCACCACAGATCCCGTGAGTGTACGCTTCAATGCTCGATGTTTTCCTTTCACTAAGCTGTCTCTTCGCACCACTTTCATAACTAGTTTTCTCGCCTATCCTTTACTCGCCTTCCACTTCACAAAACAAACTCTCCATAGTATTTATAGCTATAACTCTGAAGACCTTAAAGCTACATGAAACATGTGATTACACAACTCTTAGTTATAGTGTTTATGAGGACTCGAGTAGTAAAAAATGTGAAATACACGCACACACACACATAGATTAGACTCTGCAAAAAGCTAAATGATCAACACAATCTTCAACATATGCTGAACTCTCTACTATTTACGACTACGAGGACGTGGACTACGATAGAGACGGGGAAGTTCTAAGAGGCCGCTGATGGCGGATCTATCGAAAGACTTCAGGGGCGTCATATTGAGGGAACGGTGTCCAGGAGCCACGAAGGGTTAACAGACAAGTGTCAATTGAAGGCCACTAAGGGTAGACGCCAAGGAATGAATACCTTGGGGCCACTATAGGGAAGCTTGGATTTCCTATGTCACTGTGGCATTGAGAGGAGACAGAAAAAGCAGAGAGAGAAGGAGAGATGCGAGAGAGGGGTGAAAAATAAAGAGAGAAATAGACTGAGGCGAGAAAGGCGAGACCTCGAGAGGTTCCGGGGCTCCACAAACGACATAGGAAGGTGCAGCCGAATTCTGTATCAGCTGCCTGACTTAACTGAGTGTTTTCCTGGCCAATAATTGACCGGAAACATCATCCAGCCTCATTTCATCGTTGAACGACCAGGAGATGAGATCGAGCTTCATACTGACTGCAAGTCGACATGAAGATGTAAGACTACCAGAAGGCAAGGTCGGCGGAGTGTCTGACCTTGGGTCGAACAAGAGACAATACTGAGTGTCTTTCTGTTCGTAGGTCGATTCGAAAGACGCAGGTCGATCAGAAGAAAAGACTGAGTGTCTTCCTGTCCGTAGGTCGACGCAGGAAATAAGGTCGAGTGTTTCTGATTGCAGGACTATGATGAGAGAGAGTGGAGTGTGTGGGTGGCGGGGTTGCTAGCCCTAGGAGGGGCGGGCGATCCTCTCCTTTTGCTTCTTAACGAATTCCATCGCCATCTTCTCGTTGGTCCTCGTCTCCAGCACCTTCAGGATGATGTTATCTATGTGCAAGAAGAGAGGAAAATATAATAAATAAATGAATAAATTAATTTCTTTATATATATATATATATATATATATATATATATATATATATATATATATATATATATATATATATATATATATATATATATATATATATATATATATATATATATATATATATATATATATATATATATATAAATAAGGCAGGGTGACCCGAAAAAAGCACTTTCACCATCACTCACACTATCACTGGCTTGTCAGTGGCGGGCAGATACGACAGTTCAGATGTCCCTCCAAACAGCAAATATCCCAAACCCCTCCTTTAGAGTTCAGGCATTGTGCTCTCCACCTCCACCGGTTTCCCTGAATCCCTTCAACAAAATATTAACCTGCTCACACCCCAACATTATTATTATATTATTATAATCAAAAAGAAGCGCTAAGCCACAAGGGCTATACAGCACTGCAGGGTAGGAAAGGAAGCGAGGGTATTGGGCGGCAGAAGGGGGAAGGGGCGATCAGTAGGTTACAGAAAACAGCGGGGTAGGGGATCACACTCCAACAGCTCGTCAACTATCAATTATTCTCCGACTGACCTGGGTCTTTCTGGAACATGAGGTTGAACTCAATGGGCTTGAGACCGTGGAAGTTGTCGACGGAGGTGGAGGAAGGAACGACGCCAGGGATGGTATTGAGGGAGAGGAACGCCTCCCCGCCGAAGTCATTGCAGGTGATCACGTCGTGGTCCATCACGGTGAAGAGGATCATGGCGCCCTCTGACTGACAGCTCTCCAGTGTCGCTGGGCTGTCGGAGTCACATAGTAACTTTGTAGGCGCCTGTTTATTGCAAACCAAAGCTTATTACCTCGCTCCACAGGTACTATTTGGCCCTTACATGTGTAGCTTTTCCCTATGAATGTACTACTGTCACTAATAATGTTAATAATAGCAATATGTACACGTTATTTTAAACCAAAAGCACTACGAGTGCAAAGCAAATATTTAGTGGGTATCATCTTTGTTATGTGTCAAGAATAAGAAGTCTGCAGGAGTCAGTGTCAACCATCATTTGTTAATTTATTTTAGTATAAGTTAATTATAATAAACTATATAACTATATCATTTTTCTCTACATGTATAAATAATTCATGATAAGTGCTAAACCCATGTGGGTCATTCAACACATCTGTTTGAGTGTAAGTGTAGCAGTTCTTCTGTGTGAGTATAAGTGTTACAGTTTGTATGTGTGAATGTAAGTGCTACTACACTCTTAAATAAAGCCATGAAAGAGTATCCTACGTACAACTCGAAGCACTCATCGAAAAGGGGATTTAGCGTCTTCTTGTGGACGTTGGTCTGCTGGGGCGCCGAGCCTGGGAAGAGACGCCGGGGTAACATCTCTATCACAACGAAGGGATCGCTGAAGCCTGTAAGGAAGGCGACCACACTTGTATCCACGATCCACACTGCCTTATCTATGATGACTTTCAAAGTATCTTCCCAAGAACATAAGGAAAGTGAATAAAAAGTCACAATACCGTGACTGCATCTATGTACAAATAACCCGCACATAAACAACGGTACACAGCTTTAAGCAGAGGTATGATAAAGCTCACGGTTCAGGGAAGTGACCTAGTAGCGACCAGTGAAGAGGCAGGGCCAGGAGCTTGGAATCGACCCCTGCAACTCAACTAGGTGAGTACAACTAGGTGAGTACAACTAGGTGAGTACAACTAGGTGAGTACAACTAGGTGAGTACAACTAGGTGAGTACAACTAGGTGAGTACAGGGGGGGATTGAACTCGCTGCTAGTGAGTCGTAAAACTCCAGACCGGTTCGTTAGCCACTGGGCCAACTAGCTACAACTCCCATATAGGAGAATGAAATTTATGACGATGTTTCGGTCCGACTTGGACCATTAGCTGTGTGACTAGTTAATGGTCCAAATCAGACCGAAACGCCGTCATAAGTTTCGTTCTCATATATCCAGATTATTTGTAAATTAGTTAAGTGATCATTTAGTGCATTATTTCTACAACGAAAACAGTGGACCGAGGACAAGGGCTGCCAACATGCACATGTGGAGGAACACAACAAAAGAAAATATCATGGAAGACAAGCAGTTTTGGACTACAGGCATTCATATGTAGTCCTACCACAGGCAATAGATTACAGTATTTTCCGTATGGTAATGGTAAGCACCTTTCTCCGTCTTCAGTATCAGAAGCTGCAGTGTTTAACCCTGCCACCCATGATACATACCATAAAAGACGAAAAACCACACCACCCCAGTTACTACAGCTCATACAACCACCATCATTGCTACAAAAATGAGAATTACTACTATCACTGGTAATGATGGCATCAATACCGCTGCACTTAGTACCATCAACACTAAGGGCTTGAGTGCTGCCACCAGCAGCACCACCACCAACTTTATTATCATAAATCATCATTTATAGTATAAATTCCTTATGCTGCTCATATTTTACCACTGTTAGTACTAACATTACGTCAGATGCCAGTTAGGCTAGTCATTACCTCCATTACATAAAGGAATCTATTAAGATTAAGAACCACTACCACAACAACCAACAACTACTACCACGTATCATTAGGGTCCAGAACCACCACAACCATTTACAGTTACTCCCAGGTACCAGTAGGATATACAGAACCCCTACCACTACCGCAACTATCAACATTGACCCCTACATACCATTAGGATCAAGAGGGATGAGGTTCCTGGCTTGGAGGACCTCGACGCAGAGGGAGTCGTGGTTGAAGTACACTCTGACGAAGAGGGAGCCGTACTCCTGCAGTTCTGTCCTCTCCTGCACTAGAAGACGCTCCAGGTGGTAGGTCTCAATTAAGGCCTCCGTAGACGTCTTGTGTAGCTGTGGACAAGGGCGGATCTACTATGAAACCAGTGAAGCTTAAGTTTGAGGGCCCCCTAATCCCGGAGGGGGCCCAGAAGCGGCATGGCTTAAAATTTTGGGTGTAGTGTATGACAAAGGTTTTTCAAAACATGATAATATTAATAATATAGTGTAATTCAATACAAAATAATAGAATAAAAATTGAAAGGTTATTAAAGTATCATGTAGGCTAGCCGTTGCTGGTTACGAAGGGGCCCCTATAAGAGTTCAAGCTCCAGGGCCCCAAAAAATGTAAGTCCGCCACTGGCTGTGGGAGAGTCGGAGAAAGACAGGAACAGGGGAAATGCTTAGACAGTGGCAGCCTAAGGTGATAAGAGGACGAGTGGAATGACTACGTTGTTTCCGGTGCTTGGTGACTAGGCTTGCTGGGGATGGACCTGCAAGTGCAGCCAGGAACACTTGTATGACTCCAGTGAATGTAAAGTGGCTGCAACTCCACGGGGTATTAAAAATCTTACACTTACACAACTTTAACTTGTCTTACCTTGCAAAACGCTAACCTACCTTACCATATGTCAGCTCAGACTTACCTTATACAGCTCTAACTTACCTTACACAGCTCTAATCTGCCTTACTATACACTTCATTATGGGAGCCTTGTAACATCTACTCTCCAATAACGTGTGTTGAGAGTAGCACCCACCCTGAGCTGCCTCTCCAAGGCACTGTACTCCAGCCCCATCAGCGTGTTGCCATCCAGACCTCTCCCGTGAGCATGGAAGAAGGCTCTCAGGAGCTCTAGGGCGTCGTAAAGCCTCACGAAGAAGGCCTCCTGCTTCTCCTGGTGGGATGAGGGAGAGAGAGAGTGATGGAGAAAACGAAAGAGAGAAAGGGATGGAGATAAGGATTATTGTGTGCTGGGATAACATAAAACAAATCATCCAGCAAAATGCTGGCCAAATTGTTTTTTTTAACCATAAACCGCATAAACCAGAGGAGCCACATAAAGTATAACAAATGCATTTTCTTTCCTAAAACAGTCTAATTTCTGTGTCAGCGAACTGCTCATTACTAGACATTAAAACATTCTCCACATACACAGCTCAAGAGAAAGGGATAAATAACTCGATGCTGATGAAGGACTCTTGAAATGGAGCTAAGTATGTTATTTAGGCACAGGTACACGTAAGGACAGTTATCTTACACAGTGTAAATTACCTAGGATAACCCAAAAAAAAGTCAACGTGACTTATTTCCATTGGGGGTCATTATATTTCCATTGGGGTCCTTGTATTTCCATTGGGGGTCCTTGTATTTCCATTGGGGTCCTTGTATTTCCATTGGGGATCCTTGTATTTCCATTGGGGATCCTTGTATTTCCATTGGGGTCCTTGTATTTCCACTGGGGATCCTTGTATTTCCATTGAGGTCCTTGTATTTCCATTGGGGGTCCTTATATTTCCATTGGTGTCCTTGTATTTCCATTGGGGTCTTTGCCCAGCTATCCTCACTTTTATCGGATTAAACCCAATTACTTCTCTCACCCTCCCATAACCCAGGTGCTGTTATTGCCTTAATGATTTTAACGCTTCCCTTTAAACATAATATTAATCCTGTAAGAGGTCAAAATATTCCCAGCAAGAAGCACAAACCTCACTATCTTTGCCGATCTGCTCGTGGAGGGCGCTGAGAACAGCCAGCCAGAGGAGGTGGAGGAGGCGATCGAGGTTGTTCTTGAGGAGGGTAGCTGAGTAGGTAGAGAGCGAGGCATAGAGACGCTCCAGTAGCGGTCGCACCGCCTCCTCCGCCGGCAGGGAGTCTGGCGACCACGCCAGGTGGAATACGTCCTTCTGCAGCTCCGATCGCAGCTGGTGCAGAGAAAGGAATCAGACAGTGAGTCAGGATGGTCAGAGAAAGGGGACAACAGGAGGTAAGGAGGGTCAGTGAATTTGAAGGACAGAGTGGTAGGTTGAACCAAGAGAATTGAAAAAGGGTAAGGCAGTCATTTGATCTCCACTACATATTCGTTATTAGGGAGAATACGAATAAACATGAAGATTTAGAGCAACATTAAATCACGTTAAGCTCAGAAAGAAGCTTGTATGTGTGAGTGCTGTTGTCTTGATCCCGTCGTTAGTGCCAGTATTATATTGTCCCCGGTGCACCGAGAAATGGGTTTTGTTTTGCGCTCAGGTTGTCAATTCCCCTCGCATTCAATTATCTTCCCCTTTCCCCTCAAATCAGTTTTATTCTAGAGCCCTTTGAAGCGTCTTCCCCGGGGTTAGTGTGCTTTATGGTGTGTAGAAAAGGTAATACATCTGAATGGACGGACGTCCGTCTCTAGTTAAGTTTACCCCAACGTTGACGACAGTGTGATAGCCATTCTTTTCTTCGATATCCACTGCCTAGCCTTCTCTCTCTCTCTCTCTCTCTCTCTCTCTCTCTCTCTCTCTCTCTCTCCCCATCACACCTACTGTCTCGTCTCTGCTCTTCCACATCCCTTACCTCGTTTCTTCCGTCCACCATACATACTGCCTCGCCCTTTCTTACGTCCAGTTTATAAGGAAGGTTCGGCCTATTCGGCAATTTTGGCTCAAGTGGCTTTGGCATGCTGCTCTTATCTGTATTTTTTTGTACCTCTGTATGTGTGCTCAAATTTATAATAAATAAATAAATAAATAAATAAATATATAATTGTCTTGTCTCTCTTAGGCTCCTACTCTACCATCTTCCTATTCTCTAAAAAACTTTGCTATTTCTTTTCTGCGCGTCTAACACATTCTCTTTTTTTTTCTTTGGTCTGTACGTTTGATATTCTCACTTCTCTTTTTCACCCTCTGATACATTTTATTCTCTCCTCTACATGTTTCGTAACTTCATGCATTATGTTCTCATAACATCACAAACTACTGTCTCGATACCTTGTGTTTAGATCCACCTCGAAAGTCCCACTTAAACGTACTTTCTTGAACGTACCTCCCTGCTTCCCTGAACGTACCTCCCTGTTTCCCTGAACGTACCTCCCTGCTTCCCTGAACGTACCTCCCTGCTTCCCTGAACGTACCTCCCTGCTTCCCTGATAGTATCTTAGCTGAACGTGCTTTTCACGGCCCTCTTAAACCTATTTTGTCCTTAAAGGTTCCTCTCAGCTCCCTAAACCTGCCTTCTATCAATTTATCTACCCACTTTCTGAAAACAATCATCCCCTCCCATCCCTTGTGATTAACTACCTTAATCGTTTTTCGGTGCTTCCCCGATGATACCCTCCCCAGTCATACCTCCCAGCATCACCGATCTTTCCCCTCCTTGAAGGTACCTCACCCATGAGTACCTCTCAACCTTCTTCAGGTTCGCCGATATGGCCGGCCCGGGTCTATCAGTTGGTGACCCGGCGAAACCCCATTTAATAATACCACACCTCTGAAGGTACTTTGCCACAGTGACTCTCCCAGCTTCACTGAACATTCCCTTCCCCTAGCATACCTCTCAACCAAACTTCTTTCAAGGTACCCTCCCCTAGCGTACCTCTCAACCCAACTTCTTTCAAGGTACCTTCCCTGGTGTACCTATCAATCATACTGAACACCCCTTCCCTGAAAGTACCTTTTCCGCCACGGGGGACATGGAGTCAGCGATCTTTGAGTCGAGGTTGTGTAGAGCAGCGAGAAGGAGGCTGTTGATGTGGTCAGTGTAAGTGGTGCCGTTACGAGGATCCTGAGCGTCCAAGATCTGCGTCAACTGCTCGATCTGAAACACGTTTTAGTTTTTATATTAATGAGGAAGAAGAAGAAGAAGAAAAGGAGAAAAAGAAGAAGACACTGTTTCGATTATTAACCCGATAAAATCAGAATGTCATGAAACTGGTTTGTTTTCATTGGGGTTATTTAAGCCTCTTCCTCAGGATGCCACCCTCGCCGGGGTACCTACTTGCTGCTAGGTGAACAGAGGCAGCATGTGCAAAGAAACATGCCCAAACGTTCCACCCGTGTCGGGGATCGAACTTCAGTCCCTCAGTGTGTGAGCTGAGGCGGGTACCAACTGAGCCCAGGGAATGGAGGGTAATTAAACCTCTGTAGAACACAACGTGAGACCGTGTTCACTCCTCTCAGCCACGATTACTGTTTTATTTACAGACAAGTGCTAAACCCGCATGGGCCATGCAGGCCATGAGTATAATCAAATTTTCCGTCGGAAAAATATTCACTTCCGTCACATTAAGCAATGATTAATTTGGTTTGAAGCCTATCGACTACACGAGGGTCATTAAGGCTGCTTGTCATACCTGTTCACTACCTAATCCTCTAATCCCTAATACAGGGATTAGAGTAAACTCTCAGTGTATATACACCGAGAGACATACACTTCACAGTGTATATACATTGAGAGACATACACCTCACAGTGTATATACACTGACAGACACACCTCACAGTGTATATACACTGACAGACACACCTCACAGTGTATATACACTGACAGACACACCTCACAGTGTATATACACTGACAGACACACCTCACAGTGTATATACACTGACAGACACACCTCACAGTGTATATACACTGACAGACATACACCTCACGGTGTATGTATCCTATTGCTAAGACATAATAAACTTTATTATGGAAATCCACAAATAATTTTATTAATAGTTATCGTGGCTGAATGGGTAGCGGCCTCGGTTAACACACTGAGGGATCGAGGTTCGATCCCCGGACGAGTGGAAAAGTTGGGCGTGTTTCCTTACACCTGCTGCCCTTATTCACCTAAGTAGTAAGTAGGTACCTTGGTGTGGAGAGGATTAAAGGACCCCAATGGAAATAAGCCAGACAGACTAATGACATGGCTCTAATTAAGGGGTCAACCTGGATTACTAACCCTCAAGGGTGATAATCCTAATAAAATTTCCCTTCCCTGGGATGCAGCCAACAACAGGTGTAATGAGAATTTCACAACGTTCACCCCACGCACCAGGATCGAACCCGGGTCATTCGGTTGTGGGTTAAGAGAAAAAGATGCTGTGGGAGATCTTAGAAGAATATACAATACAGATCCCGATATAAATTTAATAAAACAACTGTTCAACTTTGTTAAGATATAACATGTCGAGTATATTTAGAGTAATTATTTGCAACGTTAAATAAATGCGAATAAATAAAAATAAAAAGAACTTTGTAAACTTCTAAGAAGTTAGACTGAAGAAAATGAAGAAAAGAATTAAAAATGATTAGTTACCCCTAGTAATAATTCTCAGACTGTTTTATTATAAAGAAAATAGAATAAAAATGATATTTGCAGGGTAACTGAAATAAAACTAGATTTATACCCTGCGCAGAATCTCAATCTCTATTTATTTATTTATTTATTTATTTATTTATTTATTTATTTTATGTCTTTGCGAATAGTACATTGAGATTTTGTATTTACAATAATGGGTTGCAATGCAAAGAGAGTTTCTATTATGCCTAGGCATTATGGGCCAACTTATATATGGCTTACAGACTACTTAACACTAATTAATGAAAATAAGATACCAGATATACTAAGCAAATTTCCTAAATTTGCTTGTAACAGATAAGTGAACTATAGATATGTAGATATAAATCCATATGTATTCATGTTAACCCCTTGGGGCCTAGTTCCTGGGCCTTTTGTGTATCCATATGTTCTTGTGCTACCACAGGATAGATATGGAGTGCACAATAAACTAGCCACTTAGGTGGCAAAATCTAAATTAAAATCTAAATTAAAATCTAAATCTAAGGATTATATCATAGTTGTACAGCAGGATAGTAAATACCGGCGAATAATAAAAAAATTATTTCATATCGACACCACGCCTAACTCTTTAGGGCAGGGTAGGTGCCTGAGCCAGAGCTTGCAGCTCACATGACTGTCGTTCCCATTAGCCCCTTGGGGCGGGGATGGCAGACAAGAGAGGCCTAGCTTCTCCCTACGAGCCCCGTGAGGGCGGGGAATGTGGCTAGGCCTGGGGACAGTTGGTCCCAAAGATGAGGGGGTACTTGTACCTCCTCCCATGGGGGACTTAGATCTCAGACACTCCCTAGATAGGGAGCCAAGGCCGGGCCACCACTTGGAAAAGGTCCGGGCCGGGAGAATACCGGCGAATCAAGAAGAAGAAGGAGAATTATTTCATAGTTGTACAGTAGATTATTAATTATAAGTGAATCTAATTTGTATAAGACAAAAGATATATTCATATATTAAAAAATGCTTTTTGTGAAAACAATGATTCAAATATATTCATGTCAACAATGGATAAAAGGCTCAAGGTAATTGTTAAAATTATGATGTGGGAGCACATAAGTGAGTATATGTGTACTGAGTATTTAGCACTGACTCTAGGGTGATTAAGTGGCTCTCTCTCTCTCTCTCAAAGAACTGGGTTCCAGAGTCCCTACACCCCAGGACCCAGGCAGCCACTTTTCATCTTCCCAGCGCCTCAGCGTGCTCATCCGAGGGAAAATGGTTGCGGTACTAGGCTCGCGTCCGGCTTCAGACGAGATGGAGGAGATCCATAATCTTTGATATATTGTACCAATGTATTTCATGTGATGTAAATATGTCATACAAACATATTTACAGCACAGTTTCAGTTTTTTTTTTCACTTGTGCTCACTATGGGTCTCCCGTACCAGTGTCCAGCAGTAGTCCCCCATCAAACTGATAGTCATGTTTTCTCTGATATTTCTTCTCCATGATGGCTATTTTGGTGTAATCGTTAGGGTATTATGTCACACAAAATGTAAGTACATGTATGTCTTACCTTACTTTATCTTGCCCAGGATGCGGTCCACAACAACAGGAAAATAAGATTTACCCACACGGCCAGTCAAGCAAATATGTGAGAGAGAGAAAACAAATCTAACCTGTAGTTCTTCTTGCAGCAGTGTGAGGGAGTTTCTAACATGCTCCATGTTGTTGACAGTGATGCAGAGTTGCTGTGCTCGCTCTTCTTCAGCTGTGTCTGTGGCCAGAGTTTGCAGCCGCTGCTGCAACAGGTACACGTAGTAGTCCGCTGACCCAGACATCGTCTGCCAATACACACAGCAGACACTGTTACCTCCACACCGGGGTATGAAGGATGATGGAAGAACTCTGTGCTACATGCAATCTAAAACTGCTGTACAGTACTCTTATATAAGAATAAGAGTATGCATTATTTAGAAAACGAAATGAGGTAGCACGAAATGTGCCTAAATACTCATTAAAGGAGAGAGATGAGTATGAATTTGAATGACAATGAAGAAATGATACGCTTTGCTGGAAAAAACTTTCACTCTGACAATGTTTCACTCTGTGTAGAACTTTATCAAACTTTATGATTTGATAAAACTCTAGAGAGAGTGAAACGTTGACCCAATACAAACTTATTCTGCCAAGTGTTTTTCTCAAGAGAACTGAGTATCTTGGCCACACTAAGTCACCTCGATCATCTTGACGACCAAGGAGTAGGAAGAGCAGGGGTCAGGCCAAGCCAGGTGTCTCCAGAAGGTCTTGATGTGGTAGAAACACGATGTGGTGTCCACGGCAGACGTGGTGTACTGCGGCAGAGATTTTTGTGGGGATAGTGTTGTTAACCATTTCTCAGCTTCTGGATTTTATATAAGATTTTCTTGTGTGTTTTAATCTAGTTTTAATTCATATTTTTTTTTTCAATTCGTTAAACTTCTTTTAGTCGATAATTCGATTTCTTTAATTCTGTGGTTGAATCTAATTACTATAATGATTATAGCATTTTTCTAGCTTTAAGTCTAATTCAAATGATAGTTGCCTATAAATGAGGAAAATCTACATTTCTTATAAATCTGTCAAATAATTACTAACTACAGGGCTACAGGTTACAATACATAAAAAAACTACAAAATATGATGGCAAGGAATGAAGGGCTACACATAACTGCACAGAATTACGAAGAACTGAGAAAACAAACCTGAACGAAGCCATTGGGATTAGGAATGGGATGGATACAGGGTGTTATAAACTATAGGAGCTAGGCAAAGAACCATAAAGGGGACAAGAGCCTCACCTGGACGGGTTCCCCAGTGTTGGCGACGCGGTCGGTGAGAATGGCAGTGCGGATGCGACAGAGAACACGATAGGCGGTGACGTCGACCCAGCGGCTGACGGAGGGTAGAAAGTGTCGCCACACCGTTCCCAGCAGCAGGGCGCGGCGATCTCCTGCTGGGACCTGTTCCTGGAACCTGCAACGTGATGTGAAAGAGTAGGTGAGTAATTGAAGCATTAAACACCTGTTCAACATCTGGGTATCTTTTTTTGTAGAGGTTTCGCTACCCACTGCCTTAATCAATACAAATTCAATGACATATTGAGAAGACTGTAGAACTATATACAAAAGACGCGATAATTAGTCCCTCGTCCTTGGAGCTGGTGAGGAACACTTGGAACATCTAAAGCACAAGCAAAATGATTGGTGCTTATATAATGGAATCAGATGAGGGACGTGCAACAGCCGAAGAAATTGCCGCTGGTAGGCGGGATTTACCAGTGGAAGTAGGTCATACCCAAGGAATGAGTCAGGAGTAAGCAAGAAAGTTGTGGAGATATCCTCTGAGTCAATTAGACACTTACAGCGTAAGTGAAAAAATGAGCAGAATAAAACCAAGAGAAGAATCGAAAGAAAAAGAATGATATGAATGAGAAAACTAGTAGAAGTAAAAGATGATAAGAAGAACAGAGATAAGATAATAATGACAGAGATACCAGGAATGAAAATATTATAGGTGGGCACTAGAGACGCACCTGGAGAACTCAGCGAGGGCGAGGTAGAGGAGGAAGGGGCTAGTGGAGCAGTGAGGATAGTAGTGTGGTGTCTCCTTGCTAAGTTCCAAGTCTCGTAGCAAGCCACACATCTGCCACACCTCGTTCTCGATGTCCTCGTCCACCTGCGGGTCAGGGGGGGGGGGAGTAAAAGGTAAAATATGATCTATCGTGTGTGCTGGAATTCAAGGAATGCCGGATAAAATAAAGAATTAGAGGAGGTAACATTACTTTAGCACGCAGCCAAAATACTTCGAGGTAGGGGATGTGATAAATGTTGTTCCTTTCGTTTGCAAGTGTGATGGAAATGGAGGATATCTTTCGGAAATGATACCATAGCCCAGAAGTTTGGAGGTTTAAGAGGGTGTGTTGAGGCTAGAGGCGATGTTGTGAGCAAGTGTGTGGTATGGCGTGAGAAGTGACAATTTGTGTAGTGTTGTGGAGAACTTTAGCTCTGCTGAGGTGCTGTAAATGTCTAGTCTGGCTGGAGCAGTAAGTCTACCGCTGCTGTGTAACATGCTGTACAGTGCTGTGCTCTCCTCTATCATTACATATCTAGGGATATGTCAGTTGTACTCTCCTGATTATGCAGTAAGATCATAATAAACAGGTGACATCACAAATAGCCACAGTGAAAAATATAGTGAAATTCCAAGCGCTTTCGTGAATTCCATTATGTCTAGAGGGGTTGAATTTCAGCTCCAGAGCCCTGCCTTTCAATCTATGAATAATCTGTTTGTAAGATTCGGAACCTCTTGGGTTGTACCATTATTTGCTCTTGAATCCATCAATGGAATCTGAATCTACTGTCCCTTTTGTTGATTTCACCTTCTTAATTGATCTCATACTGAAGACGTTTGTTCTAGTGTCTCATCAGTTCATTTGTATCTCATCCTTCAGCTGTCTTTCTCATTTTAGTTCTTTTTAAGGAGAATATATCTCATTAACACTTCATATTTCAGATCAAAGACTAGTATTGTGTCAAATATAAGTTTCTTAAGTTTTTCATGTGTTTGAGTAAGTGGGGGCTCAACGATGGTGCCACTTACTCGCTTATTTTGACGCTCATGGTACACAGTGCGCTAAGTCCTTGTTTAGGTTCCTAAAGGCAGTCGTTAAACCGGCGAATATGGCAGATGCCACTGGTGTTATGTGTATTATCTGAACTTTAGATATGTGTTCAGTGTAATGTGTAGCCTCAGAGCTTTGTTGTAGAGTTCTGTCGTACGTAACTCACAGCGTATCTTGTCTGTGGTCTCTTGACAGTTCTCGTTCTGTCCTGCGTAACTCGCAGCGTGTCTTATCTGTGGTCTCCTCTTGACAGTTCTCGTTCTGTCCTGCGTAACTCGCAGCGTATCTTATCTGTGGTCTCCTCTTGACAGTTCTCGTTCTGTCCTGCGTAACTCGCAGCGTATCTTATCTGTGGTCTCCTCTTGACAGTTCTCGTTCTGTCCTGCGTAACTCGCAGCGTATCTTATCTGTGGTCTCCTCTTGACAGTTCTCGTTCTGTCCTGCGTAACTCGCAGCGTATCTTATCTGTGGTCTCCTCTTGATAGTTCTCGTTCTGTCCTGCGTAACTCGCAGCGTATCTTATCTGTGGTCTCCTCTTGATAGTTCTCGTTCTGTCCTGCGTAACTCGCAGCGTATCTTATCTTGTGGTCTCCTCTTGATAGTTCTCGTTCTGTCCTGCGTAACTCGCAGCGTATCTTATCTGTGGTCTCCTCTTGACAGTTCTCGTTCTGTCCTGCGTAACTCGCAGCGTATCTTATCTGTGGTCTCCTCTTGACAGTTCTCTTCCAATAGCTAATAACCAGACCATTCTTGCAGTTTTATAACTTTGTTTGTACTTTCCAGTGGTTGTCATCCTACCTCCGCCGCAGCGTTGTCATCTGCAAACACTGGCTTGAAGAACGGGAGAGTTTCACGTCACTTCTGCGACAACAATAACATCACGATCTGCGAAGAACAGCATCACCATCTGTGATATTCTTGGATCAAACCTGATTACCATCCGTTTCTCAGGCACTTTGATCCCTACGAGTTTAGATAACTGAACGTACATTAAAACAATATTTCGTTATATATGTGAAATGTACTTATAGCAGGTGTACACAGTTATAAATAAACAGATGTATAAAACGGGAGGAACATCTGTTAACTTACCTGTATAACAGTGAGGACTTTTAGAGTGTCTTCCGATAACTGGGAAATAAACAAGAAACTTCGTTTTAGAGAACATTTTCGTTAATGTTATTTTGTTACGTTACGTTAGGTAACATTCTTCCTTAATGTAACATCACAGTATTACCTTCACTAAAGTTACATTGTTACATTGGCCAACATCTTCGTTAAAGCAACATCAACGAACACCTTCGCAAATGTTACGATAACCAGCAATCTAATTGGTTATCAAGGTCATGACTACTGATAACCATGCTTCTAATTCGTATATTATGCCCGTATTAACACACTGTTAGTATCCACTGATGACATTACGAATCTTGTGATTTAATTTTTTTAACGTGCCTGATGTGACTTTTCACATTAAGAACCCGAACTGATAATCATTAAACATTTTACTCCAGCCTCATTTACCTAGCATCTCGTTACTATTAATTCCCTCACCTAAAAAAATACCAATATCAACACATTCCGATAGTGGAATTACATTGTCGTTATGTTCCATTAACGAGCACCTATTTAAAATTCCATTAGTGAACGATCAAGTGTCATTATTTCGGATTAGCGAGAACCTTCGCTGCCATATGTTTCTATTAATGTATGTGTAATTTACCCTTATTTAAGTTAGGGAACACTTATCTCCATTAGATCCAATTAGCGAACGAAACAACGAAAAATATTGAAATTTACGGATGTCTTGTTTATCTCTGGTGATTACTGATGCTGTAATAACGTTGGTAGAATTACCCACAATATGTTAGGTAAAAGGCCACAAGTGCAACTAATGTGACTTTTATTGTGGCAACGTTTCGCTTTAACGAGCCGTTAAATAACCCGTACATAGGAGAGAGGAGCTTACGACGACGTCGTAAGCCGGGTTTTTAAAGGCATGACAAAGCTCTTTGAGAGCGAAACGTTGCCGCAATAAAATGTCACATTAGTTGCACTTGTGTCCTTTTACGTAGCATTAGTGATGCTGTTGTATGTGCAAGTTAATTTTGGTATATACAAACACGGAGAATACCTCTGTAAAAAAAAAAGCAAAAAAGAAAAAAAAAAAGGGAGAAGACACCATTCCCAGGAGCCCTCCTAGGGCGGGGATGGTGCCAGAGCCAGAGCTTGCTACCACCTGCAGCTCACAAGACTGCCGTTCCCACGAGCCTTCCTGGGGCGGGGAAGATGGCAGACCAGAGGCCTATGAGCCCCGTGAGGGCGGGGAATGTGGCTAGGCCTGGGGACAGTTGGTCCCAGAAGATGAGGCGGTACTTGTACCTCCTCCCATGGCAGACATAGGTCTCAGACACTGCCAAGATAGGAAGCCAAGGCCGGGTCACCATTAGGAAAAGACTAGAACCCGGAGAGTACCGGAGAATTAATAGGATTCTGAAACTTTTTGATAAGTAATGTATACGATTTATTGCTTGTATAATAATTTATTAGTGTATAATAGGATTTATTACTGTACAATATGATTTATTGACTGCATAATATAGAGGTAACTTTCTGACAAAATTGTAGACTGTGACTCGTAAAATACAGTAATAACACGACTAAGGTGAATACAGGAAAGAGTAAGGTTATGAGGATAACAAAAAGATTAGGTGATGAAAGATTGAATATCAGATTGGAGGGAGAGAGTATGGAGGAGGTGAACGTATTCAGATATTTGGGAGTGGACGTGTCAGCGGATGGGTCTATGAAAGATGAGGTGAATCATAGAATTGATGAGGGAAAAAGAGTGAGTGGTGCACTTAGGAGTCTGTGGAGACAGAGAACTTTGTCCTTGGAGGCAAAGAGGGGAATGTATGAGAGTATAGTTTTACCAACGCTCTTATATGGGTGTGAAGCATGGGTGATGAATGTTGCAGCGAGGAGAAGGCTGGAGGCAGTGGAGATGTCATGTCTGAGGGCAATGTGTGGTGTGAATATAATGCAGAGAATTCGTAGTTTGGAAGTTAGGAGGAGGTGCGGGATTACCAAAACTGTTGTCCAGAGGGCTGAGGAAGGGTTGTTGAGGTGGTTCGGACATGTAGAGAGAATGGAGCGAAACAGAATAACTTCAAGAGTGTATCAGTCTGTAGTGGAAGGAAGGCGGGGTAGGGGTCGGCCTAGGAAGGGTTGGAGGGAGGGGGTAAAGGAGGTTTTGTGTGCGAGGGGCTTGGACTTCCAGCAGGCATGCGTGAGCGTGTTTGATAGGAGTGAATGGAGACAAATGGTTTTTAATACTTGACGTGCTGTTGGAGTGTGAGCAAAGTAACATTTATGAAGGGATTCAGGGAAACCGGCAGGCCGGACTTGAGTCCTGGAGATGGGAAGTACAGTGCCTGCACTCTGAAGGAGGGGTGTTAATGTTGCAGTTTAAAAACTGTAGTGTAAAGCACCCTTCTGGCAAGACAGTGATGGAGTGAATGATGGTGAAAGTTTTTCTTTTTCGGGCCACCCTGCCTTGGTGGGAATCGGCCAGTGTGATAATAAAAAAAAATAATAAAAATAATAACACGACTATAAATAACTCAAAGAATGAGGAAGGTTGAAACCTATGCCAAGCCAGTCCTAAAACCAGCAAGCCAGTGCTCTAACCACTGGGCCACACAGGGTTAATAAGGCTCCTCCAGCTAGGTACATCGTTATACACTAGAGAGGTTAGCATGGGCCACGATGTGACAAATGCAAAAGTTTGTGAACGAATCTCATTCCCAGGGTAGTGTTGAGAACTAGCTCAAGTCCCTTCAAAACAGTGGTCAATAACTCAAGAAAATCATAAGAAACCTTTATAAACAATTCAAACAACAGAAGTTTTTTAATTTATAGTTGACAGACTTGCTTGTAGTTCACGTGAAGCATCAACGAAGTGACTGATGTAGATAAGAAGTAAGAGGACCCAGGACACTACCTTGTGGAACCCCTATGTTGATCTATCAGGTTGTGATGAATAGTCATTAATGGTTACATGTTGGTTACATGTTGTTTGCAATCGTGTCGGTACGATTTCGTGAGTCATGTTGACGGCTTTGAGGGGACTTGAGCTAGAGTTCGTCACGGCTACGCTAGCTGGAGATTCGTCTGTAAAAACTTGCATTTGTGGTCACAGTGGTGGCCTATGCTAACCTTCCTATGGTGTAGAAATATACCTAGTTGGACGAATCTTATTGTGGCTAGCTAGTCCAGTGGCTAACGCGTCGGTCTGGAGTTTTGAGACTCTCTGATCGCGGGTTCTAACCCCACCCGTGGTATGGTTTGTCTGCAATCGTGTCATTACGATTTCGTGAGTCATGGTGTCTAGTACATACAGTACGTAAACTACTACTCTCATAATACAGTAGGCCTGTGGCCCACGCTAGGCAGGTTCTACTCAGATACTGTAATGCTTTCGTAACTAAATTCGTGTCTTCATAACAACTCATTACGACTGTAACCAGATCACGAATATGTATAGATCATTACCACTGTAGCTTGTTCAGTTATTGTAACACTGGTACTCTGTCCCTGGATGCATAACACTGGTACCCTGTCCCTGGATGCATAACACTGGTACCCTGTCCCTGGATGCATAACACTGGTACCCTGTCCCTGGATGCATAACACTGGTACCCTGTCCCTGGATGCATAACACTGGTAACCTGTCCCTGGTGCATAACACTGGTACCCTGTCCCTGGATGCATAACACTGGTACCCTGTCCCTGGATGCATAACACTGGTACCCTGTCCCTGGATGCATAACACTGGTACCCTGTCCCTGGATGCATAAAACTGGTACCCTGTCCCTGGATGCATAACACTGGTACCCTGTCCCTGGATGCATAACACTGGTACCCTGTTCCTGGATGCATAACACTGGTACCCTGTCCCTGGATGCATAACACTGGTACCCTGTCCCTGGATGCATAACACTGGTACCCTGTCCTGGATGCATAAAACTGGTACCCTGTCCTGGATGCATAACACTGGTACCCTGTCCCTGGATGCATTAAAACTGGTACCCTGTCCCTGGATGCATAACACTGGCTACCTGTCCCTGGATGCATAACACTGGTACCCTGTCCCTGGATGCATAACACTGGTACCCTGTCCCTGGATGCATAACACTGGTACCTGTCCCTGGATGCATAAAACTGGTACCCTGTCCCTGGATGCATAACACTGGTACCCTGTCCCTGGATGCATAAAACTGGTACCCTGTCCCTGGATGCATAACACTGGTACCCTGTCCCTGGATGCATAACACTGGTACCCTGTCCCTGGATGCATAACACTGGTACCCTTGTCCCTGGATGCATAACAATGGTACCTGTCCCTGGATGCATAAAACTGGTACCCTGTCCCTGGATGCATAACACTGGTACCTGTCCCTGGATGCATAAAAACTGGTACCCTGTCCCTGGATGCATAACACTGGTACCCTGTCCCTGGATGCATAACACTGGTACCTGTCCTGGATGCATAACACTGGTACCCTGTCCCTGGATGCATAACACTGGTACCCTGTCCCTGGATGCATAACACTGGTACCTGTCCCTGGATGCATAACACTGGTACCCTGTCCCTGGATGCATAACACTGGTACCCTGTCCTTGGATGCATAACACTGGTACCCTGTCCCTGGATGCATAACACTGGTACCCTGTCCCTGGATGCATAACACTGGTTACCCTGTCCCTGGATGCATAACACTGGTACCCTGTCCTGGATGCATAACACTGGTACCTGTTCCTGGATGCATAACACTGGTACCCTGTCCCTGGATGCATAACACTGGTACCCTGTCCCTGGATGCATAAAACTGGTACCCTGTCCCTGGATGCATAACACTGGTACCCTGTCCCTGGATGCATAACACTGGTACCCTGTTCCTGGATGCATAACACTGGTACCCTGTCCCTGGATGCATAACACTGGTACCCTGTCCCTGGATGCATAAAACTGGTACCCTGTCCCTGGATGCATAACACTGGTACCCTGTCCCTGGATGCATAAAACTGGTACCCTGTCCCTGGATGCATAACACTGGTACCCTGTCCCTGGATGCATAACACTGGTACCCTGTCCTGGATGCATAACACTGGTACCCTGTCCCTGGATGCATAACACTGGTACCCTGTCCCTGGATGCATAACACTGGTACCCTGTCCCTGGATGCATAACACTGGTACCCTGTCCCTGGATGCATAACACTGGTACCCTGTCCTTGGATGCATAACACTGGTACCCTGTCCCTGGATGCATAACACTGGTACCCTGTCCCTGGATGCATAACACTGGTACCCTGTCCCTGGATGCATAACACTGGTACCCTGTCCCTGGATGCATAACACTGGTACCCTGTTCCTGGATGCATAACACTGGTACCCTGTCCCTGGATGCATAACACTGGTACCCTGTCCCTGGATGCATAAAACTGGTACCCTGTCCCTGGATGCATAACACTGGTACCCTGTCCCTGGATGCATAACACTGGTACCCTGTTCCTGGATGCATAACACTGGTACCCTGTCCCTGGATGCATAACACTGGTACCCTGTCCCTGGATGCATAAAACTGGTACGCTGTCCCTGGATGCATAACACTGGTACCCTGTTCCTGGATGCATAACACTGGTACCCTGTCCCTGGATGCATAACACTGGTACCTGTCCCTGGATGCCTAACAACTGGTACCCTGTCCCTGGATGCATAACACTGGTACCCTGTCCCTGGATGCATAACACTGGTACCCTGTCCCTGGATGCATAACACTGGTACCCTGTCCCTGGATGCATAACACTGGTACCCTGTCCCTGGATGCATAACACTGGTACCACTGTCCCTGGATGCATAACACTGGTACCCTGTCCCTGGATGCATAAAACTGGTACCCTGTCCCTGGATGCATAACACGGGGTCCCAGACTCCGTAATCTATTGATTACCATCCACACCGTGGGAATGGGGCGCATAAGTAACATATTAATGGAACTCTTCCACCCTATTTTGAAAGCTGAATATTCAACCTATTTTGAAAGCTGAATATTCAACCTATTTTGAAAGCTGAATATTCAACCTATTTTGAAAGTGAATATTCAACCTATTTTGAAAGCTGAATATTCAACCTATTTTGAAAGCTGATATTCAACCTATTTTGAAAGCTGATATTCAACCTATTTTGAAAGCTGAATATTCAACCTATTTTGAAAGCTGAATATTCAACCTATTTTGAAACCTGAATATTCAACCTATTTTGAAAGCTGAATATTCAACCTATTTTGAAAGCTGAATATTCAACCTATTTTGAAACCTGAATATTCAACCTATTTTGAAAGCTGAATATTCAACCTATTTTGAAAGCTGAATATTCAACCTATTTTGAAAGCTGAATATTCAACCTATTTTGAAAGCTGAATATTCAACCTATTTTGAAAGCTGAATATTCAACCTATTTTGAAAGCTGAATATTCAACCTATTTTGAAACCTGAATATTCAACCTATTTTGAAAGCTGAATATTCAACCTATTTTGAAAGCTGAATATTCAACCTATTTTCAAAGTAACAATTCCAAACTACAAGATTTAGAGAGATCGAAAAAGTAAATATATAAATGCGAAAATATACATACCAGTTTTTCGAAAATTTTATAGTTGAGAGCCACATAGTGGATTTTGAGTGCCGTTCTGAAAAAAAAATCACACTTAAAAAAATTTGCATTTATATATACTGAAAAAAAAAATGCTATTGTGGATACTTTAGAGAGTTATGATTCGAAATGCATCTGAAATAGACATATACCTGGAGAGAGGATTTCGGGGAGGTCAACGTCCCCGCGGCCCGGTCTGTGACCAGGCTCTGCGGTGGATCAGAGCCTGATCAACCAGGCTGTTACTGCTGGCAGCATGCAAACCGACGTTCGAACCACAGCCCGGCTGGTCAGGTACTGACTTTAGGTATCTATCTCCCCCCCTCCCCCCTTCCGAGAGTTTTGGCGAGGGAGTGAACCGTGGCTGGCTAGGGAAAAAGAGAACCACAGGGTTCTCCTCTAGTGGTAAGAGTACTTGGTTCTCACTTTCCCTGGTTACAACCCCCGCCACACTACTCAAACAAAATTTGAAAATCTTTCACTTCATTCTTATGGCATTTCTTTCATACTTTGAAGACATTTTTAGTCCCTCAAAGTTCCTAAAATAATTCCCAGGATATTATTATTATTATTATTATTATTATTATTATTATTATTATTATTATTATTATTATTATTATTATTATTATAGTTATTATTATTATAGCTATTAAATAATAATAATAACCAACAACAGCAATAATATAATAATAATAATAATAATAATATAATAATAATAATAATAATAATAACAATAATAATATAATAATAATATATAATAATAATAATAATAATAATAATAATAATAATAATAATAATATTATTATTATTATTATTAATTATTATTATTATTATTATTATTATTATTATTATTAAATTGATGATAATAATCATAATATGATTATTATTATTGATATTACTACTACTACTACTACTACTACTACTACTACTACTACTACTACTACTACTACTAATAATAATAATAATAATAATAATAATAATAACAATTTACAACTCTGATATGACCGAGCATGATGTTTACAGATATAATCATTTATTAAAACCGAAAGGTAACGGGTTCGATTCCCAGTCAAGGAGATATACCTTGGAAAGTCACCTTACATTTGCTGCCTCTGTTCACCTAGCAGTAAATAGTTATCTGAGTGTTAGTCGACTACTGTCAATCCTCCGTGCACTGATAGTGAACAGTGCACGGAGAATCGAACCTCGAGCTGATGGGCCCACGCGGGTTTACCGCTGGCTAAATAAAATACACGAGAATGCAAATGTATTAATATAATACTATATTTTTGGATTTGTGTGGGTGACTCGATATTACGTACGAAGTAAAGGCGTGTTCGTAGTAGTCACAACCAGCTTGTAGGTCGAGGGTCAGGTGTAAGGCGAGACGTGCTAGTGATTCCAGCGCCGCATCTCCCCCTGTAGAGAGACTGGATTCTCTGTGACGGTCGTACCTGTGGTGGATAGAAACCAAACCAGAAGTGTGGCTGAAGGGGATTTAGTGGGGTGAGGGTGGGTTGGGTTATGTGGGTTGTGGGTGGGTGGGTGTTAGAGTGCCGTGGGTAGCCAACATTGACAACATAAGAATGGAAGGAGATACTGCAGGAGGCCTACTGACCCATACAAGTCCTTATCAAAACCACCTATGTATTTATCCGACCTCTTCCCAAAGCTAAGCAAAAATTTGCTTCCGTACCCCAGGCACCAGTCATACCTCCCACTCATATATTTTGACCAATCTTGAGTAGTGTCAAGTAACTGCTGCTGTGGCGTGTTTGGATGGGTGACCATGCCTGTGTTGACCCTCTGTGGTAGCTAGTTTCACGGTCCACCACTCTATGGTCCACCTCTCCTTGGTCCACTGTACCTGTCCTTGGTCCACTGTACCTCTCCCTGGCCCACTGTACCTCTCCCTGGCCCACTGTACCTCTCCCTGGTCAACTGTACCTCTCCCTGGCCCACTGTACCTTTCCCAGGTCCACTGTACCTGTCCCTGGTCCACTGTACCTCTCCTTGGTCCACCGTACCTCTCTCTCTCACTCTCTGGTCCACTGTACCTCTCCTTGGTCCACCGTACCTCTCTCTCTCACTCTCTGGTCCACTGTACCTCTCTTGTCCACTGTACCTCACCCTGGTTCACCACACCTCTCCCTGGTCCACCACACCTCTCCCTGGTCCACCACACCTCTCCCTGGTCCACCACACCTCTCCCTGGTCCACCACACCTCTCCCTGGTCCACCACACCTCTCCTGGTCCACCACACCTCTCCCTGGTCCACCACACCTCTCCCTGGTCCACTGTACCTCTCCCTGGTCCACCACACCTCTCCCTGGTCCACCACACCTCTCCCTGGTCCACCACACCTCTCCCTGGTCCACCACACCTCTCCCTGGTCCACCACACCTCTCCCTGGTCCACCACAC